CTGTAACGGCTACAAGTGTTCCCCTCTTCAATCACACCAAACACAGATCTGGGTCTCAGGAGGTTTAGCTGTTAGAACCAGGGTGGACCCCCGTGGTCCAAACCAGCTAAACCAGTTCTATCAGGTTCTGGTGATGAGGTTGGGGCTTCAGACCTCACCGCAGCTCCAGGAAACATCGGATCTTCAGAAGGAGACGTACCCTGACATCACTTCCTATCAGCATGTCCCATGACTCGTATCTGCCTTTGTCCTGTCGGTAGAGCTGGATGGCTTTGAGGAAGGCCTGGACTTCACACGTCCTCTTCTTCAGGAAGTCTGATGGACAGAAGAGGGGAAGAGGAAGGATGTCACTGGGATGTAACGCCTCAGCGGCGCTCACTACATCCATGTGGATTAAAGGTTTCTGCCCAACGCTCCAAGGTGCAGAGGCAAGCCTGTTGCCATAGAAACCAACATGAAGGTAGTTCAGCTGATGTTGTGAAGCCAAAATATAAGGATGGAGCACCACCAAGGCAGCTTTGTTCTACGGCACTTTTCACACGTGCTTCTCCAACAGCAAGAACATCAACATCAACATCAACGTGACAGAAAACACAATCTAAAAATGAAAAAGAGACAAAGTTAAAGGCTGAGCTGTTACAGCGCAGAAGGTGCAGCATAGTAGCTAAACGCAGCTTCACCCGGTTTGGTTCTGACCCGGTTCTACCAGCTGACCCAGAGCCCCGCTGGGCGTAGACACCTGAAGGAGATCCCACATGTACTCTGGCCCCATGCCATTGAGTGGTTTATAAACTAGTAGCAGCACTTTGAAATGGATCCTGTGGTTTACTGGTAACCAGTGTAGAGATCTAAGAACAGGAGTGGTGGGTTCGGTTCTCCTGGTTCTTGTTAAGACTCTAGCAGCAGCGTTCTGAACAAGCTGCAGTTGCTTCACAGCTTTTGTGGGAAGACCAGTTAGGAGACCATTGCAGTAGTCCAGCCTGCTGGAGATGAACACATGAATGAGTTTCTCTAGGTCTCGTCTGGACGTGAGACCTCTGAGTCGTGTTGTTTGATGCAGAAGATGAAACGCTGACCAGTGAAGCTCAGGTCTGCATCAGTTATGACACCAAGACTTCTAACCCGGGTCTTTGTCTTCGTTCCTCTGGAGCCGAGCTGAGCGGTAACCTCCATCCTGTCCTTCTGACTCCCAAACACAACAACTTC